TAATGCACAACATCTGTAATCTAATGTGTTTGCCACGTTCTCATCTTGTAATATTCCAGCCAGAGCTTGTGCTTTTTCATGGATAACAAATGCACTGGTTAAGTGCTTTCGAGCGCTCGTGGACTCGATGTGTTTGAAGTGTATCGTGATCCAGGGAGCATCCAAGCGTCAGCGGGCAGATTGCAAGAGTCAGGTGGTGAGTTAATGCATATAAATAGGGTCTCTATGTTACAGTCTCTGTTTCTCTGTCTCAGCTGCTGTGGATCTGCATTGTAGCCCTTATGAGGGCTGTTTTTAAAGGAAGGTGAGCTGAAAATGGAGGCTGTTAAAAGGTCTCACAATCAGAGGAACTCTGAGCTCTGAGTCACACGGATCACTTGCAGACCAAATTCAATTCCGGCTCTTGGAATTTGACTCGCTGTGGCTCCATCCGAAGAAAATCCACCTCGTTCTCCCAATGGAGAGGAAAGGAATGGAACAGAATTGAATTTAATGATGGTGGACGTGGAGCTGCTGCATGAATGTGTGACTCAGAGATGAATAGTATGTTGAATGTGTTGTAAAAGGACATTAACATTAAAGCACTCTCAAGAGCTGATTTAGTTCAATTTAATGAGGAAATCCAATTCAATTTGTACTTTTATCTGTTTTTTTAGGTGTCGCTGGTTGATATGACAGCAGTTGTGGACTTCATAAGTCAATACTTTGACACTCAATTACCTGTTCAGATCTAAAAATGTACTTAAGAGAATTCAATACATATATACAATGACTTAATTAAATATTTTTTTTTCCATTTATTCTTACTAATTAAAATCTTTATTTTTAATTTTTTTAGGGATGTTAAAAATGCCTGGGAGTACTGACAATATAATGGAAGAAAAGCCATATTAAAACAATGTAGTTTGGCATAATCTTTTTTTTCTCTCTCTCTACTCATTTATCTTGTTTAATACTACAACTACTACTACTAATAATAATAGTAATATTAATAACAATAATAAAACGTATTATTATTCATAATAATGATAAATAATATATAATTATTATTAATAATAATATTATCATTATATGATTATTATTATTATTAGTATTATAATTATTGTGTTGTTGTTGTTGCTGTTTGTTTGTTTTTGTCTGGCAAACCAAAGCCATAAGTCAAAATCAGGAAATTATATCATGGGGATTCTCATTATTGTTTGTCAGCATCATTAATTCACTTCAATATTGTGATCTTTTTACCCTCGTATGACAAGGCAAAATTAGGTCATGACTGACAATTTATCATGCAGTGCGACTTACATGGCGTGATACATGAATAATTCATGACATTTGTAAAAAACTACTTTTTACCTTGAAAAATATATTTTTAAACATTTTGGAAAACAAAAAGGATTAAGATGTGTACACTTATGTTTATTCATTGTGTTATTACTTTTTATCTGCTGGTTACAATGAAAACACATTTAGCATAATTGGTACCTGTTTTATTGGAGACCCAGATGATGGTCTCTGTTGATATGTGACTGGAGTTTCCCACTGCGAGCGTCAGCGGTATTTGCCACTGGAAGCTGAAATGAGACAAAGAGAGAAATAGCAGCTGAAACGCTTCTATTTGATCTCAGGGTTTAAATGTCACTGCCGCAGATACATACTGTATGACGTGCATAATCTCACACATATGGACTCCCACGACTAGTGCCTGATAAGAAATAACAGAACAACACATAATGGTGTTTTCATTCTTAATCATGAAAATATGTTAATGAATGTCTTTTAAATGACATATCGCATCATATTAAAGTTAAAATGTTTAAAACAATACATCTTTCTTGTTTTCAGTTTGCATTAGCAAGGTAACAGGACTGGAGTTTCCCACTGCGAGCGTCAGCGGTATTTGCCACTGGAAGCTGAAATGAGACAAAGAGAGAAATAGCAGCTGAAACGCTTCTATTTGATCTCAGGGTTTAAATGTCACTGCCGCAGATACATACTGTATGACGTGCATAATCTCACACATATGGACTCCCACGACTTAATGGGATTGTGGGATATATTTGTGCGATTTTCCTCTCTGTCTCGGCACCAGCAGGCAAAGTGACAAAGTCAGAAATATCAGATGATTGTGAAGCTGAAAGAAAGCCTAGCAGTGTCAAAGCTCAAAGAAATCAGCGTTCATTCTTTCCCAGAGTGCTTTGTTATCTCTCTTTCACACACACACACAGCTGTGTATCACCCGTCACCCGATCACTGTCATGTTCTGTGTCGCCACCTCATTTTGATGTCGATTCATCTGTGAGTGTGTGCTTTCATGTGTTAGTGTGTGTATGAACATCCCTAGGTATGAGTGCACATCCAGTAAAAGCCTGTCTGACAGCTGCCACAATGGATGGCCGCCCCTCTTTCAGCTGTCAGAATGGCTGACACACCGGTGGACGTGGTCTGCTGTCTGCCAGCGTAAATTACCCCAGACGACAAGAGCACAGCAGAGCCGACAAACAGCAATAAATACTGTAACATTAACAGATCTAATGCAAGACAGAATCATTTGAACAAGCTCCAAACAACATATCGTAACTTTACTTTAACAATTTTCCCCCTTCCTCAACAAAGCTATTTCATTGACTGAGAAAAGTTTTTATAGGTAGAGAACAACAGGGATAAAGGCGCACCAGGGTAAGAATATGTACGTATATAAACACATAACAATGTACTTATTGAATAAAAGTAAACTGAAGTATTTTATGTATCAAAATAAACATAATATGGAACCATATTTGTTGAAGTGATTGTAATAAACAAGTATTAACTTTGATATTATGCAAAACATATTACTTTAGTTACAGTATTTGTATCAGTAATACTGGGGGCCTTTTGTCCCATAAAAAACAAACTACTTTATGATTTATTTTCCCATGAAATGTATCATTAAATAAAAAGCTGCAATCAAACAATATGGCAGCAGTGAAAAGCACATCTCCCTTAAGGTGTGGCATTAGCCCCATTTTACTCTCTTCAGTGCCTGATAAGAAATAACAGAACAACACATAATGGTGTTTTCATTCTTAATCATGAAAATATGTTAATGAATGTCTTTTAAATGACATATCGCATCATATTAAAGTTAAAATGTTTAAAACAATACATCTTTCTTGTTTTCAGTTTGCATTAGCAAGTTAACAGTTTAGCTTACTCTCTTGGCTTACCACTAAATGCCTTCGGTTAGCAACCTTGCTTACTTAGCATACTGCTAACTGCTAAAGTAAGCTTTGTTCATTAGCTAGAACAAGACATTGTGATAAGCAATGTTTTATCTTAAGGCAACATGCTAAAAAATACCCAGAACACCTTAGCAAACACATAACAGCACCCTGTCAACCTGCACAGCAGCCTAGCATCGTAGCAGTGAACTTTACACAGGCACGCACCACATTTTCTTCATAAAATGTCAAACTTTATCATCTAATATGAGAAGAGCAGCCTGGATTATTTAGTGACATCAGTCTCGGCTGTGGGGAATGGATCGGATCATTAGGGATTTGTGTCAGTTGGAAAACTGACAGGAATGGACAAAATCCTTTCAGGCTGCTGGTGACTCACCTCAAATCATTCATAAGATGATTTGCATTATTTAATGTGTCTTAATTATGCCTGAATAAGCCGAAATGAGGATTCTGTGTAAAGTGACTGAAACTAGATAATAAAACAATGATAGCAACTTTTAATTTCAGCAGAAACAGCTGTAAACAGCAGACTGAAAGATTACAGTATATCACAGAGGAAACTATAGCACAGTCAGGAAGATATTATGCATAAGATGAAGCAATATGATCCTGCTGGGAAACAGTATTTAAACGCGCATGTTTGTAAGGCACTATAGAGAGAGATTCTGTGCTAGACGAGCGCTGATAACAATACTTATGAATTCCAGTGATAATAGAAGCATCTGTGTGTGTTCAGATGAAACCACACACTGATACATTTACATGAAACTCTGTTCATCAGTGGGATTGAACTATTTGCAATTCCTAAGCCCTCAACATTTTATCACCACTGCAAAAGAGTAACAGCTGCGATGTGTCTACATTTAAAATTCACTGTGATTAACCAGCATCCTCTCTCTCTTTTCTTCATTGGTTGTGAGGTCTCAGTTCCACTGTCTCTCATTGCGGGTGTGATAATATCTAAGGCTCTCTTTAGGGACGGCTGGCTTTTGCAGTCTATAATGAGTCACTGGGGGCTTTTGTGGCTCAACATGTGCGATAGATCCTCACAACGCTTTTATCCAACACCAGCTGCACAGAAGAGAGGAAAAAACACAAGTGTCTTCATTTGAAACCTTCCATGGATTCATACATGCTGGAGTTTGTGTTGAACTTGAGCTGTTGTACTTATTTCCAGTATGTTGTGTAGACTTGCTTTAGACTTTCAGTCAATCATCCAGCAATGGTTTGAAACCACTGAGACCATGAACTGAACAAAAGAAGATGAAGATGTTCTGCTGGATGAGTTAGAGAAGAAAGACTGGGGTTTGTTGGATATTGAGGAAATCTATTGACCCTGCAGAGAGCAACATGCAGCTAAACAAAGAGGTGGTGGTGGATTTCTGCAACGCCAGGGATTCATTCAAATGTAAAGCGTGGAGGTGGTGAAGTCTAATAATTATTTGGGAATGTACTTGAACTGACACATGTACACCTCATATTATTAAAGTGATCCAATCACAAGTGATCAGACTTGAATATAGGTATAAAAATGGGATCTAATTTCATCACATTGCATTTGTAGCAAAAGTGCTAACATGTCTTGAAGCAATCTGAAATCAGTTTTTTCCTTGTTGTTTTTCAATGTACTCTAAAGAAAATTGGCCATTCATTACTTTAAACATTGCTGCTGTCTGTTTATCCCTGCTATGAAAGACAGTCTAGATCTACAGATTTTTCTACTTTATTCATGTTCCCAGTGGCGTTCAAACTGATGCATGTTCACAGTTAGTTTCATTGCATTTCAGATGTGTGTGTTTTGCACTGTCAAGACACATTCCAATGATGTCACTTGAATACATTACCGCACTGCATAATGTTTCCAACTCTAAACCGTTTAAGCATACTGTGAGTGTATATATACTACTGTATATCTGTTTTGTGTGCTCTTTATTATTGCAGTCATACCAAATTTCTCCTCAAGGATCACTGAAGCATCTAACTTGAGCAAGAAAATTTTCTTCACTGTAACACTAGTATGTGACATTTTTATTGCCAGAATCTTAATGATATTCTTTCACTGTGGGTATCTGATCATCACCATGTGACCCTGAACCTCCAGTCACAAGTTAATTTGACACAGTTACACACCAGCCTCAAGCAGACCTACACATACCTGCAAAATAAGACTCTATAAGGCTCAGATCCACCTGTAAAATAATTCACAGGAGTAACTGCACGTCCTCATTACAGTCAAGCAGGATGCAATATGAAAATTTATTTGTGCCTTCAAGTCCTAAGTTGTTTATATTCTCTACAACATCACCTCAGCATAAAACCTCCCTGTTGAAAAAAACAGCATATGCTGGTTAGGTATGTTTTGACGCTGGGATGCTGGTTTATGCTGGTCCTTTGCTGGTTTAAAAAGTGTTGGACTTGAAAATTGTTTATGCGCGAGTGCACTTGCTAATTGAAGACAGATTGTATAAAATGGATTAAAAAAAATAAATTTATTAACGAGCTGCAGTTTTATTACAACACGCGCTGGCACAGATGCAGTATATTAACGCCATGGGTCATCAATAAAGTGCAGATTGGTCCTCAATTTGTGTTTCCAACACACTTTTTCACAGCGCGCATCACGCGCTCAAACTCATCAAAAGCCAACAAGTTCCACAAGCAACAATGACTTATCCAAGTGACTGCTGCAGAACGCACGCGAGAGAGAGACGAGGCAGCGCAGATCGCGCGTCTCATAAGTGAGTGGGAATTTACCGAACGTGGCACTTGCGGGAGTTAACACTACGCAATAACGTGGTACTTGCATGAGTTAACACTGTACGCAATACCCGCAACCTCACACCAAATTTCAGGCCGTGTAGATAGGCAAGCATAGTCTATATACAAATCATTTAGTAAGTAGAAATCCGAAATTTACCTTAAGTTAGAGGAAGATGCGACTGAATTGATGCTTGAAGAATGCACTTCCAGCAGCCATGATAAAACAGTTGGCGGTTAAGTTTTCTATGCACAATCTGATTTGACGAAAGTCACGAGACCGATTACTATCTCTCTATCCAATCACGTTGATGGATAAAAATAAAATTAAAATAAGCATGTAACGACCACAAACGGAGGAAAATAGCGGAGTAAAAGTACCGATACATCACTTAAAATGTACTCAAGTAAAAGTAAAAGTACACAATTTTTAAACTACTCAAAAAAGTACAATTACTGATAAAAACTACTTAATTACTGTAACGTGAGTATTTGTAATTCGTTACTTCACACCCCTGCGTAAAGCAAGGAGCCATTGATTATCTGCAGATGCTAAATCAGATGATGACAGAAATGCTGCTATAGCCTCACTAGTTTTATTATTCGCTCCTATTTCTAAGTAATATATTACATTTTAACCACCTTTAGTCAAAAAATATTGCAAACAGATTACATGCTACGAGCTCAGGAGCTCATGTTCTCAAATTGCAGGTGTTTAGCACTGATATTGTTCTCAACTTAAGAAAGTCTGTCACTATCTAAATGGCAATACTGCCTAACAACACACTCCACACACTCAAACAGTATAGCATTAAAATTCAATTCTTGACTCAATTCTTGTGCTGCTAACAGTGTCTGATCCAAAACAAAAGGAGGATTTCTAAAACGGATCAGAGGCAGTATTGAATTATTCATCTCACTCTAACGAAGAATTAAACTAATCTATCTGCCAGTGACACATGCAGTTTTCCGTGACGACACAGACGAGTGCCAAACAGCATGTGGCGGTGACGGGTTAGCATGGGTCGCTAATAATAAATGAAATGCTCAGTTAATAGCAGCTTGATAGCTTGTGTGTGTGAACATGTTGTGAAATATGATTCATAGAAAGAGAATTGTGTTATTCCTTACTGTCCTGCTAAAAACATCTTGAACCTGCCTAAGATAGTTTGCTGGTTTTAGCTGAATGGCCAGTGAAAACCAGCAAACCATTTTAGGCTGGTTAAAGCTGTTTTTCTTAGCAGGAGCAATAAAGGCAGACATCAAAAAGTATGCTAAGCAGTAAACTGTTCACATCCCTCAGATAAGCGAGGAAATCCTTTGGGTCTTCATGCTGTTTTGGGGCGCTAGGCTAGTCTTTAGCTGTCTAGCTGTGCTTATAATCTCCAGATGGTCTATTCTTCTGTATTTCTTCCAAAATAACTTAATATTTAATCTCATTTTTAATCAAAATAGTTTCTTCTTCTCATCAGCTGCAAAACTGCTAGGATCTTTTTTCAGTCTGAGCTTGATCTGATCACAGGAAACTATCAGTGAATTCTGGGAGGAGAATCACTGACTGTGGGCTTTTTGCATTATTCAGCATTGCAGTGTTTGGCAAACGTACAGGCCTCTGCTCCATATATTATTGTGGATTTTCTGCAACGATGTATCAGCTCATGGAGAATCAATGTCAAGTGGTCAGTTGACTGATGGTGTTTCATTTTCATGTAACAACCTGTCATGATTGACATATGCCAGACTACCTTTTGTTGAACAGCTCAGGATTCTGGATCTTGGCGTCGGTGTCATAGACGAAGTGCTCTTGTGAGATGGTGACACTGTTGTCAAGACTGTCGTTCTTGCTGATGGTGACGACAGGGTAACCCATCTGCAGCGTCCAGCGGTCCATGACCTGCGTGATGTTGATGTCCTTTCCCTCCCTCTGCATGGCCTTTGACACAAAATATATAGATCAAAATACATCATACATATACAGATTGCCAGAGTAAAAGGTGCCGAGCAAATAGATAGTGTCTGAAAGTGTAAGTGGATTGAGTTTTGTTGGTTTATATTAGTTATGTTGGTTATGGTGGGTGGTGTAAAAGCTTGAAAATAATGTACTACTTAAATTAAACCTGATGCTAAACCTAAGTGATAGTGCAAACGTTAAAAACAGATTTGTTGAAGCAGCCATGCGATTTTAGCTTGCTTCTACAAGTCTTTAATTAGAGCATTTGTATTTGTGTTTCACAAGACACATCACAACTGCAGCGCTGTACCAGGTGAGCTACCGAGCAAGTTTACTATGAAAGAAAAGTGGCACATATGGAGCTGGTTATGTGATACAAATGTGAAAGTGTATTAGCTTACAGATCATGCACTATGGTAAAAGTGTTTTAAGGTCATAACATAATATTGTGTAAGACTTTGTTATTTGATAACCCGCCCCTAATCATAATTTTGTGTGAGAAGGAATAAAAACCACTAGCGTTCATTTCAGTTGGAAACTGCAGTGAATTGTATGTATGAAGTTTTACAAAAATGTAGGTAGAGGTACGATTTTCCAATGAGCATAGGGTGAAATAAGAACTCATTCAGGACTTTTAATTAAAAACTCTTAGTGAATAGAAAGGTGATTAAACTTCACCGTTCTCTTAAACCGTATACGCAGAAACATCACAGGGCAATTTCCATTCATCTAATCTCTCTATACAAGAGCAACGCTTGTAAAAGAGCAGAATTAGATTTATAAGTCTGATTTCTTCAGAGGAAGCTGCTCCTCCTATTTTAAAGAAGTAAAACATAAAATTGGATCTCACGGCTCATTAATGTGAAAAGCTTGTAATGTGACTGAGTTTTGTCTCTGAAGGAAATATACTGCCTACACGGTTCCTCCTTATTCTTTGAAAATGCTACTATAAATGGTTCAGCACGGTGGACAACTGGCAGTTTTCTGTATGAATTGTTTTCAAAAGCTATCTGTATGTTTGAGGAACATTTTAATGTTTTATGGAGTTTCATCTACTTTTCAATGCAGTATCCATTTTAAAAAGAATGGTAGAGTATGTGACTGAAAAAAACATTGGAAACACATTTATAAAGTATTCAAAATATAATTAAATAATGTTTAGCATCTTTGTTAGCATGCATGTAAAGTCAGTATTTTGAGATTTCCTTTCAGTCTTAATGTAGCTGTCTGTAGACAGTGAGTCATTGGCTTCACAGATATTTTCCATCATTTCATTTCACCGCATTTTAAAGAGGTGCAGCATTTCATGTTTACTAGGGTCAATCGGTAGTTTCTTTAAAAATTGATTGTAAACCGGTGGAGATTTACAATGTTTCTGCAGCAGCACAGAGTCAGTGTGTTGTGGAGACCTGTGGGATTGGAAGGGGAATGTGGTGGCAGAAACAAAAGTGCTCTGTCAGGCTCTCTTGAATTCTGCAAACATCAACTTGACTAGATTATTCGAGCATGTGCAACTCCCCTTCTCCAGTGTGACTGGGAAACTCTTACTTATAACAGATGATTCTGACCATTATGAGTATTATAATCTGAGACTAACCAAACTTGCATGAGATGACTCGGCTATTATGGAAAATGCTGAATGAGACCAGACGACTTCTCACAGCTGTCAATGACTCATGGTTTGTTTACCGTGTGAATAAAGAAGAGGCTCTGCAGAGGCTGATGACGGCAGCTGATGTTCCTACATTATGAATCATTTTCTTTAGGACAGCTTTCAGGAAGCTACTGTACCTTTGCCCTGGCAGATATAATTAAAGGAAGTGAAGGCCGGTCCGGCGATGGGTCGTGAGCTTGACAAAGGGCTTTGTGGGCGCTAAGCACTGCCAGATTATTGCAGCAAATTGGATTTCATGAATAGCTAATGAACACAGCGCATATCAGTATTCATTAGATGATGGGCTGTCATGGACTGTTAATGTAGCTAAATTCATCAGTGCCTGACAAACACGACCACTGAGAGAATACGGAGGTCCAGGTCTGGCCCTTTCACATAAATTCACCTTTAAGTCCGTTCTGTTTTGAAAGAGAAAATGAAGAAGCGGCTCCCATCAGCCGGCATTTGGGAGAGTGATGTGAATGACAAAACGCTTCATACGACGCTGAGAGCTGCTAAATGTCCTGCTGTTCCATTACAAACTATAATAACTTTGAGATTACACTTGAAAGTAATCTCATTAAAGTCATGACACTTTGTAAGATGAGCGAGAGGGGACTTGCTGAGAGTCCTCTGGTTTTAAAAGCACATCTCTGTGCTTTGAGCTGATGACTTGAACCCAATGCTTAACTTCACTGTGATCATAGCTGTTGGCTACGACCGTTTACTTCACCGGTGCTAGCAGTTCCTTAAATAAGGAATTTTGTATTAGCATTGCAGCATTTGTTGTTTCGGTAACTAAACTGGGAAATTATGGGAAATGAACACAGTTGCTAAACCCTCTACGCTACTACAAAAAGACAGAGAAACTGCATCAGTAGATCACAGGGGGAAAAAAGTGTTTCTGTCAGGAGGGGTGCACTCGTGCCAAACCTAATAAGAACTGTATTTTTGAGGCCCGAGTGAAGCATCTAAATAGGTCAACTTTCCTTCAGCAGAAGATTTTTCTTGGGTTATTCTTGGCTACACCTGAGCCGAAGGGCAGATGCTCATGTTTAATCTGAGAGACTCATCAGGCTTGTCAGCAATTATGTAACACTTCACTAATTGGGTCTGATAATATTCAACTAATGTATAAGTTAATTAAAATCACCAGAATCAGTAGCAGCAAGTCTTTATTATCAGTATCTGTGAACATTTGCATTTAGCAAGTTTCAGTAATCAGATTTCTGGATCAATATTTGACCTGCATTTGCAGAAATCGTTTCCATTCTAAGTGAAACCTCAAGTGTAAAAGCGAGACTATCAGACACAACCCAGCCTCCATATCAAACTCTTTCCCATGTGGCATTTCCATAAAACCCTTATGCGTTGATGTGAGTAGGTGGTGTATTGGCATAAATCTGATGATGTGCAGTTATATAATGGCCTCTGACCTATATGCAGCGCGTGATTCTCTGAACACCTGCCTGCAGGAGATGCACTGGGTAAATTAAAGTAGGTTGAACACAAACAATTTCACTCGCCGCTCAACACTGACTGACCCCAGTGCTGATTCCTGCTCGTGGATGGAGGTCTCACACCCAGAAGATGCGTAAAGTCTCACCTCGGAGAATTTGTTCCACAAGTCATCTCTCGCCGCGTTCCCGTACATGTGCGTCATCAAGTAATCCTGCAAACAGACAGAGACGGAGATCAATATTGGAAGAGAAATAAACTGGACTTGGACGGAAACGGTGAATTTGGGAAACCAAATAAGCCCAAACAATAACATTACTAATCCTCTCAATTCAAGCTGAACGTATGCAAATTAGCAGCAGATGTTTGGGTGTGATTGGCTGTCAGTTCAAGGAGGACCATAAGGAGGCCAATTAGAGGCTGATTATGTTGTTCGAGTCGATGCTGCATCAGCATGTCACTGAATGAGTAACTTACAAATCAGCAACATGATTTCTTTCAAGACATAAAAGATGGTCAATTGTTCACATTAAAATAAACACCTTAAGTTTTGAAAAAATAACAGAAAAAAAAAACAATTTATTCAGTGAGTAAAAACTTCAATACTCTTACAAAAAAGTACTATAATAGTATATACTAATCATATTAATGATTAGGGGCGCCGCTATGGTTTGTGGGCCCCCTGAACAGCATATTTACTCGGGGCCCCCCTCGGTAGAAATCTACTGACTGCAGTAGTTGTATTTACATGTGGTAATTCAGTTTCAATCTCATGTTAATCTTGAGTACCTATTGAGTAGTATTGCATCCTTCATATCTCTGAAGAGTCTTTAGTTTTATAAAATTTATAAAAGAAAGATACAGCTGTACAACTTCTCTCCGAAAACTCGAAAAACTCGAAAAAAAAAAAAAGAAAAAAAAAACTTTCCGAAACTAATACGAACCCTGAAGGAGCGTATTTGGCACATAAATACTCTTGTCATACGTCCAACTCGTTTTTTGAGACTTTGGTCATGTTTAGCACAAGAATCCAGTTCTTCAGCAGGGTAAATAAGTCAGAATGCATGATATAGCATTAGACATCCTTTTTAATGTATTATATTACAAGTGCCTTGACGTCAACATGGACAAATCTGCATAGAAAAGTGGATGTAATATCTGTATTGTGGTGTATTATTGAAGCTAAGACAATGGTGGGTGTTCATTTCACTGCTAACAGACTTTAATCTGTTAAACGCCAAACGCTACATTATCAGTGCGTCTGTTCTGCCCTGCAGTCTCAGTGATACATGTGGTGGGCGACATGAAGAAGGAGTCTGATCCTGGAGAGCACATTTACATGCATCTGATAAGAACATCTGGTGGGAAGCCTCTTGGCTGCTGTATACGAGATTCCTCGATAACTCTTGAGTGACCGTGAGTGATAAACCACTCAACTGTAATCCGTTTCCTGTTGCTGGAGTCAAGAGAACATGCTGACAAAAAACTGCATGTTCCCTGCTAATACTGGTGCATGTCTTCTGTAGAACACAAATGGAGATATTTTGCAGAATGTCCAGGCTGCTCTTTTCAATACGCCAAAAACATAGCCTATATTAATGCATTTAAACTCTTCTTAAGTCATAAGCTATCTTTGTGTGATAAACCGACCAAAAAGGTCTGTTTTTTCAATTTTAAACAACAATACCAGTACTCAATACCATTATTGCAGACACACTTCACTGGCTCTTAAAGAGGGGTAGATTTTAAGTGAATAAAAAAAAAAAGGATTTGCAATTGCATGAGTGTGAGCAGATGATGGCAGGGTTTTCATTTTGGGATGAAATATTCCTTTAATAAGGTCATTATTTCAGCCTTTGCTTCATGAATCAAATCAAAACGGACACTTGTTGAAACGTGAACAGGCGTCATGCTGAGAGGTCTGAGCAAATTGCATTGGGATTCTGAAAACGTGACCCAGTCCAGCTGGCCTTCATCTCTCTACGTGCTCTGCTGAGCTCTCAGAGAGTCTGGGATTTGAGTCTGGGGCAGAACCAGATTCATGTTACCATCCTGATGAATCTGTTTTAAACCAGATCAATTCCTCTTCCTCTCTCTCTCTCTCTCTCCTCCATCAGAGTTAATGCCCTGAAGCGAAGTGACCATGTGGTCCAATCTCGCCTCTGATAGGGCCGTCACAGTGTGTTGTCATTAATTTGACACTGATGTGTTCTGCTGACTGCCAAAGCAAGATAGAAGGAGTAAAAATAAATCTAGTTGCCATATCAGTCCCAGTCAGTCAGTCAGATGCAAAAGAGTGATATACTGTATATATATATATATATTTTAGATTAACTCAAATTTAAATATAATATTTATGTTAAATATATAATAAATACACAATGAATATGTTTTCTCTTTTGAATTAAAGTTCATTTTTAATTATTATTATTATTATTATTATTTACAACTTTAATGAATTAAAAATTAAAATGCATTTTTTGTGGCTTAAAATAAAACATTTCAAAGTGGTGTAAGCATTCTGAAACTACCAACTAAATAAATAAATGCTAATAGACTGAAATCCTTCAGAAAAACCTTACTATTAATTTGTATTATTATTATCATTATGAATACTTGACACTGATTGATCAATTGCTGCATTTTGTGATTGTGTAAGGACATTTAATTCTATATTTGACCACTGTCCCTGCAATCCAGTCTCACTCAGTAGGTAGAAATTGCATACTGAATGTGATTGTTGCAGTATGAAATACCTTCTCTGCTCATTTGCATGGATTTGCATGGCAGCGAGGGACCACTCAGAGCCATTTTATGTTGGTGTTGACATTTTCCAGTCTGCTTGGCCTAAAATTGTGTATTTTAATGACTGTGTTGCTACCCACCACTGTTTAGTGACCAAAAGCTCTTACAGAAAGACAGGAAACAGACAATCCTATCAGCTGTCTACTGTTTACACATATTTTGTAACGTGATGCTCTAATAAGACTAAATAATACCACATACAAATATTGGGTAAAATAGTCAATTTTAATTCTGAGGACTTTTTTTTTTTTTTTTATTGATCATTTTAACTATTTAATGCAATTGTAATGATTGAGGTGAATCAGACACATGACTTGCTTCTTGCGTCAGACCAAGGCTGCATCTCATTTGCTAGTTTTACTTGATCTTAGTGCTGCGTTCGACACTATAGATCATGACATACTCATAGATCGATTACAAAACTATACAGGTATTCAAGGGCAGGCTTTGGTTTAGATCCTACCTGTCCGATCGCTACCATTTTGTTCATTTAAATGGGGAGTTAGTCTTTTGTCTTATTATTTGATACATTAAGTATCATTTGCACCTTTTACAAAGGTTTGTTTGAACTAAGTAACTGATGTTTCCTTCAGGCAGTAGATCTGCTGAATATCAAATTTTACCATAACTTCATGCTTTATTTCTTTTCTCTTTACTGCTTAAGCTTTAACACATTTTCCTATGCCAACTGTATGCGTGTCTGTGTGTGTGTGTGTGTGTATGTTAGACTAGTTGAAGTGTTTACGAAGTTAATAAAGTCTCACTTGTATTACACTTGAGGTTGTTCGTTGTTTGCTCATAACTGGAGTCCCTAATCATGCAGATTTTTGCTACATGCTCTGAGTAGTATTGTACAATAAGAAAGTTATTTTCCTTAAACAGAAAAGTAACGTTCTTAGAATTGACTGAGATGTCAAGTAAATACTTACAGCGGATCTAAATATTTATAATTAATCATAACTGGTTATGATTGATTATTCATATTTCCCCTTTGAGCTGATTCGCTACAAAAAAAAGATATATATATAATATACACACACACACAAACACACACACAGCAGTTCTTTTTGGTCATTGAATCTGATTGGCCGAGAGCCTTTTCCAGTGGTGTGATATTCTAGTGATAACAGAACTCTAACCTCCAAAAAACATATATAATTAATATTATTATTATTATTATTATTATTGGCCAAATTAATATTTTAATTAATATTAATAAAGATGCATCTTATTGATTGTCATTTCACTTTTTTCTGTGTACATCGGCAGCTTCGAACAGATCTAAAGATTCACTTCATAACTCAACAGATTCCAGTGGGATGGCTGTGTGTGTAATTAATTTACTCTAATTAGCAATGGCTAGTTTCTCCTCTGACACTCTCCAGGACAGAATAATATCCTGAACGTTCCTTCATCAGATATTATAACCACATTCGGTTTTGGTTTCTGATTCTGCAAAGCCAAATTATATACAAAGGCAGACACAAGATTGATCGCTTTCGATATGTAAATCCCCCCAAAGCTAAAACACAAGTTTTCTGCAAGAGCCTTCACCACAACAGTCAAAGCAGATCATAAATAATTCATTATTCATCCAACTAAATGAGTTCCCTCAAAAGTAATACAAGAAGAAATATGTCTACAATTTTCTTGCATATGAAAGTAATTTTGAGGCAATGGAGGTAGATTGTTTGCTGAGGTGCTGTGTTTACCTATTCTTCCCATCAATCACTCAGACAGAGACAGACAGAGATACTGAAAGTTCCCATAAGAGAGAGAAAGAAAACAGTAATAATGAGGCGGAACAGCCGAGCCAGAGGGGCTGCTGGGAGAAGAAGAGGAAGATGGGAAAAATGGATCTTCTCTGTGTTCCAGAATGTTGTGGAATTGAATCGAGGAGTATCTGGCTATTTCATCTGTGTTCAGAACGAATTATTAGCCCACAGCATCCGTGGGGAATCTCACAGACTGCCATTCTCCAAGTCAGGGACCCGCTGAGAGCCGACAAACAGGACTATGAAGCACCGAATCCAGGGAAGCAGCTTCCCGCAGTTCAAAATCACATCCAGATTATGAAGATGGACTGTAACACGCTGAAGTTTATTTCTCCAGGGCAGGAGCGTACTTGTCCTCTGCTATTCATAGGTCAAGCATTTCACATATCCAGCCGGAATGAATATTTCCTACATCCCATAATATGATCCATCTGAAAGTGGTTTAAAAGCGATGGGCAGTGTGTGTAAATGAGACGGGAGCGCTTCATCACTCCAGTCAGCTCTATGAGCCCTAGAACCCATTCAGACCTAATTTATGACTCCCTCTGTTCTTTTATAAGAGACATTCATCCACCTGCATCAGCAGCCCATCCACCGTTTACCAGTGAAGATGAGAGAGAGGGATGGGTAATGCTGGTCCGGATGAGACTAAAGCCCGTCTGCTGCTTCTGAGCTGTTCAGCATTCACGACTGTCTGCTGCTTCAATTATGCAGAGACACGAGGAGATGCCACACAGAGCAAAAAACAGACACTGAGAGAATTAAATGAGCCTCGGTGAACAGACAAAGACAGACAGCAGACGAGAGAGGAGAGCTGGATCACTGGCAGATGTGTGAGGTTGTGTCTCTCCTCTTAAATACTCAGACTTTCAGATCTAGAGCAGTTTAGGAGTTCATAAGCCTCTACATTGAGCATTAAGGAGAAACTAGGATTAATATAAGGTAAAAAAAAAAGATAAAAGAAAAACAAACATAATAAATAAATAAATAAATAAATAATACAACTGATCAAACTGATTAATATAAGAAAACATAATAATAATAATGTAAACAGTTAATACAACAAAAAGTTGAAAAGTAAACAATAAATAACAAAAAGCAATGAAAACAATAACACAGTAAAATGTAATAATTTTATTTTCAATTATTAATTAATACAATAAGTTAAATTAAATTGTTTTATAATTTTATGTTTCTTTCTGCTTTTTTTAATTCAAAAATGTTTTATTGCGTTCTATTTTATTTTCATATGAGATAAAATATACTGTGCATAAAAGATACTATAGTATATATTGCACAAAACCAAACACACTAATTACAGTTAGTGTAGCTAGTTCAAGATAAATGGATCACATACAGTATATGTGCATTAGACACATCAGTCTGCTGGTCTTACATGTATTTGTGCTGTGATATAAAGCTCGTATGTGCAGATGTTACATCAGTAAATGAAGCATTAAATGTGTTGCTCTGCAGAAAACATGACCTGATTGTGCTTCCAAACACTAATAGCAACATTAAACCACAATAACAAAAATAACCCAGAAAACAACTCTGAAACTGTCAGATTTTTTACAGCATCTCAGGCATAAAGAAATAAAATGAGAAGTTAGGGATGTTTAGAAAAGTGATTTATGTGAAGGTGAGGAATCTGTACCTCTGAATCTGTGTGAACTCACACATTAAAGGAGGAGGGATTTGTACCTTTAACACATTTACATTTATTCATTTACAGATTGACTCTCACTGGATTCAAACCTGTTTGTTCACGGCCCAGATCCTTTAACCACATTACAGGATGTAGTTTCATGTAGCAGCCATATGGTGTCCAAAAAACCATTAATACTCTCTAATAATGCATCACGAGATCTGCTGCTCACTCCAGAGGAGCTCTGACTGCTAGACGGACACAGAAAGAGCTTCAGAGAACTTAAAACACTTCAGCTGGAGCAAATGACCATGTGACTATAGACAAACTGCAAAATACAAGCCGTCTACACAATATCAGATACAGTACATGTGTTTTAATGCAGCGGATGTGTTATCACCATTACTGTAAACCGGTTTAACACAGAGAATGATTCTGAAACTTATGATTGTAAAAGTTTCAGATATGAAATTAATTTCTGACACGAACACGTTTAATCACTTGTCTGATTGTGCTGCTTTCACCTCAAGCGTGATGGCAGCACGTGACACAACAACAACAACAAGCTGTTGCAGCTCTAAAGATAAGAAACACATGTAAACCGACGCGGCTGCACAATCTCCCAAACATACGAGACACTCAGAGCAACCTGAGGGGACTTGAACATTCACTGAGATATTCAAGTGTTAAATGGTGAGATTCATTTGTAACACATTCAGCTCACATTCACAGGATTTAACAAGGATTGAGTGTTTGAAAAAAATAAATTGAGAAGTATTTTAGTGTAGCGAATCAGCTCATAAGGAAATATGAATACTTAATCATAACTAGTTATAATTAATTATAAATATTTAGATCCGCTGTAGATATTTACTTGACCTAACGTTTGTTAATCTAATGAATAATTGATTTGTTAAATCAAATGAAAAATGGTGTGTCTGATTGGTCCAGACGCTACATTAGGTATTATGCCACAATCCTCTTAAAGCTGCATTTATGCAGAATGTATAATTCATATAGAGAGCCTTATAAACATATTCATAACACATTAGGAGTAAAATACATACATGTGAAATCATCTGTGTCCACAAAGAGAGAAGATGAAAGAAAACGATTGGCTTACATTGAGGCCTCTCTGGAATAGCGGCTGTCCCATGACGTTAGCCAGCATTCGGATCAGAGCGGCTCCCTGCAGACACAACAGAAACACACACATTCAGTAAAAGCTCCTCATTTACACCTGCTCTATACATGAATTTATTCGCAAAATATGCATTGTATGAAAGTACAGTAATCTACCTACAATGGAAGTCAATGTGGCATGACATTCTGAAGGGTTTAAAATAAAAAAATGTGAAGCTTGTGTTTTTAAAAGTGTTTATATTAATTTGTCCGTACATAATTATGTGTAATTTTAACTGGACAGTTGACAAAATCATAATTCTAGTGGCGGGACTTCTTTTGAATTTGTGGTTATGAACGACTGTTGTAATATTCATTTGCATTTTTTAAAATTAAATTAAATTAAATTAAATTAAATTAAATGAAATTAAAATGAAAATGCTTGTACACAGCAGAAACTGTTTAACAATATTTAATAAAAATTCAGTTAATTTAATTATGACCCTGCTTTTTTCTAGCAGTTCTTCTTTTTCAAGTATTCAAGGTTCATCTAAACAAGAACTCCATGACACTCGTCCTGCTGATTTCTGCAGTTTCATAAATTTGTATCTTTTTGACTTTGAGTGACTTTGACATGCTCATTTGACAGCATCTAATTCCTATCTCCCCACATCCCATCCTCTACAGTCTGTGTGATGAGTGTCACTTCCTGTTAGCGCTGAGGACTCATGGAATGTGTTGTGGGATATCAGAGTCCTTAGAGTGTGAGGAGGAAGTGATGAGGGACGGCTGGGTGTCAGGATCACTGCAGTTTGACTGACAGAGTTCATAACACCACAGAGCCTGTAGAGAAACAGGGGGAGGGGCTTGAGGAACAGCAAGAACCAATCAGAATCCAGCTGTGCATTGATTGACAGCTGGAGGGAGAGCTGAAGCAGAAACTCAAATCTTCATTGGATGGAAGATTTTATCTGTGTTTGAACTCTGATAGTAAGAAAGAGGTAATTAGATGTCATCTGGTCTGAGATGAAATGTTTATTGTGCAGCTGAAGTCCCCAGAGGACACAAAACCTCACAATCTCTCTGTGTAACAGTTTCTGTTCTCGACTTATTAAAAACAAGCTTTTAATTAAACTGTTTTTCTTGTGTATGTGAAGAGGATTATAACAACACGACTCCATTTACAATTCACAAAGATATACTGAGAAGTCTTTAGCTGGGAGAAAAATAACGAGCAAATGGAGGTGTTTACTGGACTTAATAAAAGATTATGTTCAACGGTGAAGTCCTGACATAAATAACTGTCTGATTTACACCGACAATACTGCTGTTTTACAAAGTCATTGTTTCTCTTCTGCTGGCTGTTTATAGAAAATAGAACTGAATGTGGGATTACATTGAACTTTATCAATGTTCAGCTTTGAGTATAAACCAGTTCATTCAGCTCAGCTCGATATTAAAGGTTTATAATAATTTCCATCATGCAGCTGAAGCCTGTAGGAGCTGATGAGAGATTCTCTTGCCTTCTTATACGCGATCCAGTCAAACACTCTGTCGATGTCTGTGGCTTCAAACACTTCCTGAGAGATGGGATGAGAACTGGCCAAACCGTCCAGTAACATCACCTCATGAAGAACATCAGTCAGAAACCTCTGTTTCTCCTGTGGATGACAGACAGACAGAGACTTTATTCTGTTTTACAGTATCAAACACATAAAAGTGTCCCATAAAAGCTTCTGTTTTATTTTCATAAGTAAAAATCACTCTATAAATGAAATTAGAAAGTGGTTATAGGAAAATCCAGCTCATATTTCTCATGACTGAAGCCTTTATATCTGCAGCAGCTTCTCACAATCCACTGATATGATGAACATTCACTGCCGACACACGAGAGCCGACACGACTCACTCATGAGAGAAACACTGCTGCTAACACTCAGTGTGTGTCTGTGTGTGTGTGTGATTTGTGTGGAGGGTCTCACTGTCTCTGGGCTCTGATCAAATGTGTCCCCGTAGGATTCACTATAAAGACAGGTAGAAGTTTTGGGTCAGATGAAAAAGACCCTCATCATTCACTGTGTCTGTGAATCAGCAGAGAGTCACGATCTCAAATACAATAAGTCGTTCTGGAGCACATGAGGAAGATGTTACTCTGATACCAGCTTGTTCCCTATTTTAAGGAAGTCTAAACTGATTTTTAACTTTTTTTAAATAATAGAATCAGAAAATAAACCACTAGGAGGCAGATAACTAATAATAAAAAATTACCATGGTACTATTTTTCTTTCGAATAACCTTTGTATATAATGTAAATATACACAGAATAATCACAGATATGTAATGTTCATTAAATATTTAAATATATTAATAAATTATTGCTCCAGTTTTGTTGAACAACTTCTATTTTCAGAAGATGTTAAAAAATAATATAAACACATCATGAATGTAATACCACAAACTCTTATACATTTCAGTAAATTGTGCTTCTGCAGTGACACTGTTTTCCTGCTACTCATTTGAAAGTGGCGGTTTGCCGGTTACCGTACATGAAAATTGATGAAATATGAATCACATGAATTATATATGAAAGCATTACACTGCAGGTTCATATCCAGAACATCTTCACAATGGGCTCTCTGGCGAAATCTCTGCACTTAGTTGTCAAATTCAAAACAACACTAAATTAAGGTTTTATGATTTTATTATTTTCTCATCTATGTATTTATTAAAAGTGTGTGACTGGTGGGCCAGCACACTATCAGCTGCTATAAACACGTCTGGCTTTGACACTGTGCATGTTTTATTACACCTTTATTCTCCATCATTATGAATAATTCTTGCCCATTAAAGCTTTTGGCAGCTTGATTAAGAATCCCGTTGAAGACATTAATCCAAGAGAGCAGGATATTTTAATCAAGGGATTTGAACGGAAATGAATCAAAAAACACGTTCATCAGAATCATTCATAATTTTATGTCAATACAATAAGACATTTTCTACTAACATAGTGGATCCTGGTTACTTCCAGGTTGGGAAATGAATGGGGGCTTAGAGCAAAAATAAACAACCAAAATAACCCCCCCAAAAAAAAGATTATATATATATATACATTTAAGAGATAATTATTAAAGTTGTCTTTAAGTAAAAAAAAAATGTCCCTGGAAATAAATTCCTGGGGGCAAATGGCCCCGTAATGGAAAAGTTCATTTCTGACCCTGATCGATTACAAAGTCATACAAATCCATACAGAGAATATTTACAGCAGGGTTGCTAGGTTTTCACAACAAAACCCACCAAATTGCTACTCAAAACTAGCCCAAAACTAGCCCACTCGCGTTTCGAGGGGGTCCCCCGTTAAAAATCACATTCCGGGGAGTAAAATACACATTTTTGGCGGGGTTCCCCAGGAAAATTCTCATTTCAGGGGCTAAATATCGCATTATTGGGGTCGCTTCAACCCACGGACATGAAAAACAACCCGCAGCAACAGTTTTAAAGTAGCCCAATTCCGAGGGAAAACCGCGGACTTGGCAACACTGATTTACAGGTATCTAAGTTCCGAACTAAGATTGATCTGTAGCTCTTTACAATATTTGTAGATCAAACTGTCTTCTGGATTACGTTAATTTCTTTTTCATCAGCTAATGAAGGGTAAAATTTCCTACAATAGAATTACATCTGAGGTACAGTTACCTTTAGATATTCGTGAAACATTAAAAACTGAAACATGTTATGCTTAATGGACTGCTGCAATAATTTATCCCTCATATTTAACTTCAGAGTGAAGACCTTGGAGAAAATGGAGACTTCTACAGAAATCAGTGTGCTAATTTCTCAAGCTATTTATATCATCACTTAAGTTGTCTTCTGGAAGATAACACTGTGTGACAGCTGTCTTAGTATCCGTCTTATTTTCTGATGGGCAGTTACTTTATTATCCAGACTAATATGAGCCTTAAAGTCACCATGAAATCAAAATTGAAAATTCTTATTTTTTTAATGGAATACTGTAGTGTTTATTATAAATAATTTATCCGTCCACTCGGATATATGTCACAGTAGAGAAGAAAAGACAATTGCAACTTCCGTTTCATACCGACTTTAAAGGTTAATGTGCATATATACACGTAATCAATAGCAAATGAGGCCTTCAAGTAAATGTACAACATTATGGTGAATGTGAATACAAAGAGAAACAGACAGAATGAGAAAAAAATAGAACAGCTGGTGATGTAGAGCTGATTTGATGCAAGTCACGTAATGTGCACTATAAAATGAGTGCAATGAGAAGAGCTTCCATCTGGCCCATATGTGCTCTCAAAAAGGTGTTTACATCCAATGATACTCCATTTAGATCCTGCTTATTAGCGTCTCAACATCATCACCTGCTGTAGATGCACCTGAAGATTCACACTGATCAACCACTTTAGGCCAGAGACAGCAGTGATGCCTGGTTTTGGAGCAATGCCTTATGGGTAACCAAACCTCTCTCAAAGCATCTCTAACATGATGGATGTGAGAAAGTGGAGGAAAACCAACAGTCCAGTAGTTATGAGCAGGTCAAGGAACCTATAATGACCTATTACAGGTCCACGTCAAATCCATTCCCAACATTTATCTGTGCACTTATGAGTTTTCAGTTTTCAGTTCAGTTTTCAGGTTTCAACTCCTTGCTCTTGAAACATGCAATTTTATCCATATTTTGGTAGGGACATGCTTATAGTCATCCTATCAGCGTACTGAAGTGTTTCCATCAAAACCCAATTGCTCTCTAAAATGACGTTCCCTAAATGGTCTCTCTGCTTGGCTGGTGCCCCGTAACCAAGGTGGCTTGGAGCAGAGAGGTATAAAATACTGGGACAGACGGATGGGAAGGTCATTATATGAATGTGAATGTATGAGCTTAAAGTACACAAATATCAAACGAGGGTACTATATTGACATTTATCTTATTCAAAATTAGAGAAATAAATAAATAATAGCAATTTAGTGCTTCAGACTGCTTTTAGCACTTGAACTTATCATACACTGGCATGAGTCTAAGACTCATCGGGTCTGTCATGACCAACAACCCACAACAATCTTCACACTAGCTCATGATAAAAATGATGTGGCTCATAATTGTGCAGAAGATCCAAACAGATTTAATCAGCATGACTGCTAATTCATAGCAAAGTGTCATAAACATTGGAAGCCCTCAGTGTCATAAACATTGGTAAAATGGGTTGCATTTTGTTGTGCTGATGACTTGTGTACTTATTTTATGTACGAGTGAAGCCTCAACTGCATCACAATAGCTGCATTACAGGCCACTAAAGCTGGACTGGAATAGCATTATGCTCTTTAACAAACCTGAAAGTGGATTTTATTAAGAAATGTCAGTGATATGTAGAATTTGAGCAGTTAACAAACAAGAAAATGTGTTGTGTGTAGCATCATGGTGTATGTTCTGCTGCAATAATTACATTGGCATTCATCAGCACATTTAACATATACTTATATCCAGATCCTAATAAAGAGAAACAGCTTCAGAAGAACTGCAGGATGGTAACTGTGGGATATGTGGGAACTGTGGGAAGATTTTTAGGGGAAGAATGTAGAAGTCCTGTTCTCGCCGTGACTCTGTATTCCAAAAATTCCAATGAAAGATTAATTATGTTCAGATATAGTGACTGGAGAAGCTATGGAAGGTGTTTGACTTACTCCTGATGTTACCAAACACTCCTGGATTTGTTTATTATCCAACAGGAATATCATTGGATTGGACACACCTGGTCTCAGAGAATCACTGAACCTGTGGCTCCTGTGAGATGACAGAGCATTGTAAATTGAAGTCATGCTTTGTCTTTCTCCGAACATGAACCCATCTGGATGTAGAAAATGGATGTGGATGACTCATTAGACTATGTGACTTTTACATTGCACTTTATTTATAGGGGTTTAGATGTTGTGCTCTAGTCTCAGTGTGCTGGTCTTAAATTAAAGTTTTTTTCAATGGCAGCTTTAGCACAAATTCCAGCTCTGCAGTAAATTAGCAGTTTTAATTCAGACTATCACATAGGTGTGGCAATACTAATGTAGTTTGTCTTTTCTCACTGAATAAATTTTGCACATTTTGTCACTAGCAAAGTATTCAAACCTGTCAGAATGCATTATGAGTAGAAACTCATCAATCTGGCGCTATTATTTCACAGCTCTTCTTTGATAATTAATCTAGAGACAACTACTTGTAGACTAAAGTGTCATTACAACACAAAAAAATAAGACAGCATAAGCACCGGCTGCTCTGGCAATGAAACAGGACTGAAATAGAAGCTATTGATAACAGAGCTCAACATATGATTCTTTGTGCACATGAAGTCAGACTCAAACTGTGCTCATAATAACCATTAAGACAATTTGTTCTTTTACAAGTTCATAATGAACCAGTCCATGAATGCCCCTATCTGGCATGCTAATTCACTACTGTCAGTGAGATCAAATGCACACTTGTCATTACCTGACATTGTAAAACATTGTCATTTCAGCTAATTTTCAGTTTGAAAATTTGAGAACACTCTACATATAATTAAAAAGCATTTTTATGTATTTATTTTAATTAGAACCACAGAAACCAGAACCAAATTTAAATCAATGTCAGGGTGTTATCAACATTTTGCAGCCGAAACTGAACAAAGTATAGATTTTATTAACTCAAATGCACTGTGAAAGGATTGTTGTTTTCTGCTCAGTGGAATCTTGGTAGTAGAAGAAATGCTTAAGATCTCATGTGTGTGAAAAGCATTAAAGATTTGCTCTTGGTTTAAGAGATTCAGACATCTAAACAGCCTGAAAACCATATACCTTTCACTGTATAGCTTGACTATGTGTACATTATGATATAAATCTTTTGTGTCACATGTCACAGGAAGCAGAATCTTTTTTTCCCATTCCATCCAAGTTATAAAGGATACATTTAAGAAAAAAATAAATGAATATAACAGTGATTGCTTCTGATCAATAAAAAACAATAACAACAACCGAAACTCACCATGTTCCACTTTGGAAAGAGGAAATCAGCCCCGATGTACTCGAAGTAATGCGCAAATCCCTCCTTCAACCAAACGTCCTCCCACCAAACTGGTGTGACTAGATCCCCAAACCACTAGAAGAGAAGAAATGAACAATCAATCATCAACAGAAAACAGAGTGACCATTACAAAAGATTGATTTCATGTTCACTGGTGAAGAATTACAACAAACCTTTGTTGTTTTGTTCAAGAAAAGTGTTTATGGGTATTCTGAAACCAAACTTTATTTGGACAAAACTTAAAGTTTTATCCACACTTGTATTCATCCAATATCTGCAAAAGCATATTACATCTAGTGGCAAACACATTTTATTAGAAAAGTCCAATACAGCATAAAAAATACCTTGTGCTCTTTAGAAGTAGAAGTGCAAATAAACACTTCTAATAAACAGTTGCACTCTGGTTTAACAGAAAAGTTGTTCACAAAAGGCTTCACAGAACATTGAGAAACCAGTGGAGCTTCTGAACTATGATTAATAGTGGCTTAAACAATCAATTACCTACAGTTACACAATTCAAGCACATTTTTCTGTTTCACAGCATTCATACCTGGGCACTTCGCCAAGGACACCGTAAATGAACAGAACAGAGAAAAATAAGGATTCGATTATGAAACATCCCATCTGGAAGGTAGAAAGAATCCAAATGACCCCTGCCATTGTGTGCAGATGACAGTGTGCAAAACAGGGCTATTGAATGGAAAAGATGCAACATTGCAGTTCTAAATGGGCTGAACATTTTCCAGACTCTGAGGCCGTCAAGCAGATGTGCTACTGAACGCCGGATCTCATTGTTGCAGCACACAAACCTCTGTAGGAGTCAGACCTCTTTCATCTGAACACGACATCATTACAGCAGCTCAAAGCGTCTGACGGCACGTTCATCTGTGACTCAGACACATGGACTGATAGCGTGGAGAGAGACAGCTGGTATTCTGCTCTCAGAGGAACCTTCTGCTAGTCACACATCAAGTGACTTCCCATAGGTTTACTGACTTTTTCTGCCCTCTTCTGATTTATCAGATGTTCTGACGCTAATGACAGTGAACCAGGATAGTGAGTCACATCACGTCATTTATTGCGTTTAAAAAGACTGAAGCTGCAGAGCAAATGGAACTGATGGATTGGTGAAATCTTGAGGGATGACAAACAAACAGATAGATAGATAGATAGATAGATAGATAGATAGAGTAATTTTATGAAGTACTTTTGTGTTCCACAGAAGAAAGAAACCCATATGAGTAAAAATGATGAACCTTTATCTTGTGTAAATTATCCCTTTAAAAGATAGAATAAACTTAAATACATTTTGTTACTGCTCACATCGTTACGTGGCTATTATACATTGACATCACATGAGCCGTGATGGAGGCATCGTAAAAGCATCGTAAGAGATCTGTCTGGAGTTCTGACAGCTTGCATTTTGCATTTGTGCCTGATTAAGCAGTTCAACAACACTAGAATGTCAATGAACTGTACGAACCATGGGACCCTCGCTCAATTACGTCCTCAACAGTGTCTCTGAGACGAAAGCTAAACAGAGGGATTCTGCAGCCCACCTGCTTCATTAACAGACACTCTGGAGGAAGTCGTGCAGGGAAGAGTTCACACTATACCTCTATACTGCAGTATATAAGGGACGTTTGAAAAAGGAGAAAACCTTCCAATGGCATCATTAAAAACAACTTTTAAGTTGGCTGAGAATCATATTGACAAAGTCTTCAATGAAACTTACAGTCTTATACAGTAATAGTATTACTGTAAATGCCTGAATAATTGAGTGTAATGACCTTCATTGACATTTAACAAGGAGGTTCAGACAGTGTCTGTCAGGTTTATGACTGCAGGGCAAAGGTCATTGCCTTCTCAACTGGAAAACCACAGGCTGTATTTTAGCACAAGCTAAATATTATATGGCTCACAGACTCAAACCTGCATCTCCCACACAAGCACCATAGTCTAAAATCCCTTACACAAAAGAAATATACTTCAAGTTTGTTTTATTAAGGAAAGTTTGTATATATTTTGCAAGTATACTTTGTAGTAAGTATAGTTATATCAATGTACTAGTTGTAAATTATCTATTGCAGTACTTCTTGGGACTAAATTGGCCCACGTTTTAATTTATAAAAGTATACTAAAGTATTTAAGTGCACTTTAAATATTACAGTCTTATTATAAACATACAGGTGCATCGCAATAAATTAGAATGTCATGGAAAAGTTCATTTATTTCAGTAATTCAACTCAAATTGTGAAACTCGTGTATTAAATAAATTCAATGCACACAGACTGAAGTGGATAAACTTATACAATAAAAAACAGAGCCTGTCGTCCACTAATCAATTCTCTGCAGGCAGTCGGAGCGAGCGACGAGATACAAATGTGATTTATCAGATGCCGGCACTTTGCCACCAGCTCGAGTTATTAGAGCACAGACGGACCTTTTAATATATGACAGAATAAGTGCTGGATGAGGACTGATCTAATGCATTCACAATGAATGTGTCAATCAATATGACAGGTGAGCATAAGCCCCGCCCACTCTTGCGCTCTGAGTTAATCTACACTGGAAAACAATTAGCAGTGTTCTATTTAAATCTATATGACAATGATTCCTATGAGAATGAAGCAGTGAAACAGTTTAAATAGAAAATGTTGACTTAATTAAAAACATAAAGATGAGCAGAAGCTCCAGAGAGCTGCGACACAAAAGAGTGAAACAGCCTACGGTGGAATTCAAAACGCGTGACGGCTAATCTCTTTTACTCTCTTTGTCTTTTTCTTATTCATACTGTAAATAAGCACACTTACTGTACTCTCACATACACGCTTTTTTTGTTTAAAGCTAATTTGGACTGACTACATGATTTCAATATTTAATCTGACATCTTAAAGGAATAGTTCACCCAAAAATGAAAATTCTGTCATTAATTACTCACCCTCATGTCGTTCCAAACCCGTAAGACCTTTGTTCATCTTCGGAACACGAATTAAGATATTTTTGATGAAATCCGAGAGCTCTCTGACCCTCCCATAGACTGCAAGGATCCTTACACGATCAAGGAGATCATTAAAATAATCCATGTGACATCAGTGGTTCAACCGTAATTTTACGAAGCTACGA